CCATCATTGTATAGTAAGGCATAAAAATGCCGTAGCATAGCAAATCATAAAAATGACACAGTATAGTAAGGCATAAAAAATTCATAAAAACGTCATAGTATAGTAAGTCATAAAAATTGATACAAAAGTCATAGTGAAGTAAGGCATAAAAAGCCATAGTATAGTAAGGCATAAAAAAGTCATAAAAACGTCATAGTATAGCAAGGCATAAAAAGTTAAATTAGACTTTCCTATTTAGTCAATGTACAATTCTTTGAACTGACCAGGATTTGAACCAAGAACCTTCTGAGTGGGAATCCACTGTTTTAACCACTACACTACCACTCCTCACCAAAATCTTGTTCACTTCAAGGTAAAAACCATCATAGTATAGTAAGGCATAAAAATGCTGTTGCATAGCAAATCATAAAAACGACACAGTATAGTAAGGCATAAAAAACCATAAAAACGTCATAGTATAGTAAGTCATAAAAATTGATACAAATGTCAAAGTTTAATAAGGCATAAAAAAGTCATAGTAAAGTAAGGCATAAAAAAAGTAAAAAAACATCATAAAAAGCATAAAAAGTCATGGTATAGTAAGGCATAAAAAAGCATAAAAACATCTTAGTATAGCAAGGCATAAAAATTTAAATTAGAATTTCTTATTTAGTCAATGTACAATTCTTTGAACTGTCCACGATTTGAACCCAGAACCTTCTGAGTGGGAATCCACTGTTTTAACCACTACACTACGACTACTCATCAAAGTTTTATTCACTTCAAGGTATAAACGTCATAGTACAGTAAGGCATAAAAAGCTCATAGAATAGTTAGGAGTAAAAAGTCATACTATAGTCAACCATAAATTTTCATAAATAATTCATAGTATAGTAAGGCATAAATGAGTCATAAAAACGTCATAGTATAATAAGTCATAAAGATTCATACAAAAGTCATAGTATAATAAGGCACAAAAAGTCATAGTACAGTAAGGCATAAAAAAGTCATAGTACAGTAAGGCATAAAAAAGTCATAGTATAGTAAGGCATAAAAAAGTAAACCATAAAATTTCATAAATAATTCATTGTATAGTAAAGTATACAAAGGCATAAGAAGTCATAGTATAGTAGGGCATAAAAAAATCATAAAAACGTCATAGTATAGCAAGGCATAAAAATTTAAATTAGAATTTCCCATTTAGCCAATGTACAATTCTTTGAACTGTCCAGAACCTTCTGAGTGGGAATCCACTGTTTTAACCACTACACTATGACTCCGCAGCAGAATCTTATTCACTTCAAGGTAAAAACCATCATAGTATAGTAAGGCATAAAAATGCTGTAGCATAGCAAATCATAAAAATGACACAGTATAGTAAGGCATAAAAAATTCATAAAAACGTCATAGTATAGTAAGTCATTAAAAATGATACAAAAGTCATAGTATAACAAGGCAAAAAAAGTCATAGTATAGTAAGGCATAAAAAAGTCATAAAAACGTCATAGTATAGCAAGGCATAAAAAGTTAAATTAGAATTTCCCATTTAGCCAATGTACAATTCTTTGAATTGTCCAGGATTTGAACCGAGAACCTTCTGAGTGGGAATCCACTGTTTTAACCACTACACTACAACTCCTCACCCAAATCTTGTTCACCTCAAGGTAAAAACCATCATAGTATAGTAAGGTATAAAAATGCTGTAGCATAGCAAATCATAAAAATGACACAGTATAGTAAGGCATAAAAAATTCATAAAAACGTCATAGTATAGTAAGTCATAAAAATTGATACAAAAGTCATAGTAGAGTAAGGCATAAAAAGCCATAGTATAGTAAGGCATAAAAAGCCATAGTATAGTAAGGCATAAAAAAGTCATAAAAACGTCATAGTATAGCAAGGCATAAAAATTTAAATTAGACTTTCCTATTTAGTCAATGTACAATTCTTTGAACTGTCCACAATTTGAACCCAGAACCTTCCGAGTGGGAATCCACTGTTTTAGCCACTACACTACCACTCTGCATCAAAATCTTATTCACTTCAAGGTAAAAACCATCATAGTATAGTAAGGCATAAAAATGCCGCAGCATAGCAAATCATAAAAACGATACAGTATAGTAAGGCATAAAAATGCCGTAGCATAGCAAATCAAAAAAAACGACACAGTATAGTAAGGAATAAAAAATTCATAAAAACGACACAGTATAGTAAGGCATAAAAAAATTCATAAAAACGTCATAGTACAGTGAGGCATAATAAGGCATAAAAACATCATAGTATAATAAGTCATAAAGATTCATACAAAAGTCATAGTATAGCAAGGCATAAAAAGTTAAATTAGAATTTCCCATTTAGCCAATGTACAATTCTTTGAATTTTCCAGGATTTGAACCCAGAACCCTCTGAGTAGGAATCCACTGTTTTAACCTCTACACTACCACTCCTCAACAAAATACTATTCACTTTAAGCATAAAAATTCATACAAAAGTCAAAGTATAATACGGCATAAAAAGTCATAGTAAAGTAAGGCATAAAAAAAGTATAAAAACATCATAAAAAGCATAAAAAGTCATAGTATAGTAAGGCATAAAAAAGTCATAAAAAGGTCTAAGTATAGCAAGGCATAAAAATTTAAATTAGAATTTCTTATTTAGTCAATGTACAATTCTTTGAACTGTCCACGATTTGAACCAAGAACTTTCTGAGTGGGAATCCACTGTTTTAACCACTACACTAGCACTCCTCATCAAAGTTTGATTCACTTCAAGGTAAAAACCATCATAGTATAGTAAGGCGTAAAAATGCTGTAGCATTTTTAAATCATAAAAACGACACAGAATAGTAAGGCATAAAAATTCATACAAAAGTCATAGTAAAGTAAGGCATAAAAAAGCCATAGTATAGTAAAGCATAAAAAAGTCATAAAAACGCCATAGTATAGTGAGGCATAAAAATTCATTTAAACGTCATAGTACAGTAAGGTTTAAAAAGCTCATAGAATAGTTAGGAGTAAAAAGTCATACTATAGAAAACCATAAAATTTCATAAATAATTCATTGTATAGTAAAGTATACAAAGGCATAAGAAATCATGGTATAGTAGGGCATAAAAAATTCATAAAAACGTCATAGTATAGCAAGGCATAAAAAGTTAAATTAGAATTTCCCATTTAGCCATGGTACAATTCTTTGAATTGTCAGGAATATGAACCCAACACCTTCTAAATGGGAATCCACTGTTTTAGCCACTACACTACCACTCCTCATCAAAATCTTATTCACTTCAAGGTAAAAACCATCATAGTACAGTAAGGCATAAAAATGCTGTAGCATAGTAAATCATAAAAACGTCATACTATAGTAAGGCATAAAAAACCATAAAAACATCATACTATAGTAAGGCATAAAAAAGTCATAAAAATGTCATAGTAAGGCATAAAACGTCTTAGTATTCATTGTGACACTTTCATGGGATTTTTCTACAGAAATTAAACTCATACTTTGATTTATCCACCATTTTCCATTTACTCCTGCTATCAACCTACCTACCTTAGAGAAGACAGAAGGCAGGGTCAGCTTCCTAGTAAATGCTAGCTAACAGTTAAATAACATCAGTTGACATTTTTCTGGTAACGTTAGGTACCATTGTGATATTCTCACATGACGTTAGACTGACGTAGCCTCTTGGAGGGCACATTGGAATGATCTAATGTGACTTCACTCCAAACATAGTGCGAACGAGCTAACTCAAATATTGGTAAGGACAATTATGACCTCCCAAAATATTGGTAGGGACATGTCTCTACCGTCCATATGCAAAGCTATGCCCTTGCTCCAAATTTTTGACTCACTTCCATACAAAGCTGCTTAATGCATCAATATACAGCTGGCACATGCTCTACAAGTCTTGTACCAATGTCTATGCCTGGATTATAGTGTGTGCATGTTTGTGTGGTTCTATGAACCAAAGGATATGAATCTTAGCGCTGAGACGCACGTACACATGCAGACACATGGGAAGGAAAAGTAGAGAAACGCAGGTGCAGGAGTAAAAAGTCTCATATTCCAGCTGAAAACACAACTTTCATCTGTTCATCAGATTAATTTGCTCTTTTGAATTGACATGGAATAACTTTATCTCCAGGCTCACCTGCTCCAACAGCCACGCATCAGCAGAGTCCTGCTTAATACCCTCAAAGCGCGTCATTACTTATGGCATTAATGGCATTCACTGCCATGTCTCTATCTATCTGCCAGGCCTCCGAGTGACAAGTGCTGGTGCAATCATCAGCCCAGTTAGAGTGCTATACTTCTTCCTCTGCCAGCTTAGAGCCCTGGGTGTCTCACAAGCGTCCCTGGGTGAAATTAGATTTTTACCACTTCTGAAAAGACTTTGCTCTTTTCGCTGTCATGGTTTTATTTTGAGAGTGTAGTTATAGTCCTAAAAGATATAGTCTGGATTGATCAAATCAGATGTGTCATTTTCTAAGAATGTAATTATAAGACAAAAGTGTACAATTACCCTGCTCTGGATTTGAAAGAGTCCAGCAAATTGACCATTTAGAGTGAGAAATAAGAATCAATCAAACTGGCAGTCTATTAGAATGGTAAATGAAATAATAGCATCACTACAGTACAGTGTACGCAGCATGACTCACTTTCTGCAGAAAGATGGCCTTGACAGTTACGACTAAGTGTTGAAATGCCTTTAATTTCGAAAAGCAACTCAATATTCTAATTACTCTTTCAAAACATTGTCAAATTGCTCTTACTTGCTTTTCATCGTGTGTAGTTTCAGTAATTATTCCCTTGTAGCTTGTAGCAGGAGTGAGGAACTTGAAGTAGAACTATTTCTACTTCTACTACTTAGAGTATATAACCATGCATGACTACAACTGAAATATATCCTGCTTGTGGAGACTTGGTAAATCAGGCACCTAAATCTCCTCGATAAGATACCACTAAAGCACTGTACAAGCCTTTTTCACTCTTTGCTCTAGTCTAGAGTGACCTCTGACCTCATACTCAGGACCCTGCTCATCCTCCACCTCGTACGACACCGTCTGGATCTTCACATCCTTCTCTCCCTGCACGCTGTCCTGGCAGTTTTCTGTGGACCCTCCATCCAACACAGTGTCTTTACTCTCTGTGAAAGTGGTCTCAAAGCTCTCACTCTTGGAGTCCTTGCTGTGAAGACTCACGTCGTCTTTGTACAGGATGAAGTTGGGCCTGTAAAAAGCCTCCACGGCTAGATGCAGGGATGTTGCATCCAGGAACTGCTGAGTCTTATGCTTGCCATTAGTCCCGGTGTAGTAGTAGCCAATGAGGCTGTCCTGGTAAGGCTGGCTCGGGTAGTCACACTGGTAACCCTGGTAGTCGTTGGGGACCACGTGTCTGCTGGTTTTGTCTAGCAGGGGGTTCTGGAGCTCACTGAGGCTCTCCATGACGACGATGGAAGGTTCAGACGTCTAGTGGAAGAGAGGATGAAGTCCGAGAAAGATTTGGCAGTCTGGCAGCTGGAAAAACACGTTAAGAATAGAATGATAAAACCTTATAAGAGAGAAACAACAGTCCACTTAAATCATGGCACAAACATGGGAAAGTAAATCTAAATGAAATGTAGCTATCCAGTCTGATCCAACATGAGTTTTTAAAAAAAATAATAATAATGAGCTCTCTTGGACATGAATTCAGTGCAGGAAATCTTATTTGGCAATCAGCATTCATCTCACAAGCTCTTGCCAGTCTGGGCCATAAAATCACCATCTGTTGTATGTTCAACTGTTGCATCTCACACTCCCAGATTCATATAAACATGTAGGGGAAAAAATATCCCCCACTTGTCACAGCTGCCCATATTGAAACCAGGGGAAAGTGTGTGGCAGGTGCTGCTGTATTTCCCAGTGCATACTGATTACTCTGACTAGTCTGACTGGCCTCCTTGACTCCTCCTCAGTGTTTTCAAATGCAGCTGGAGAGCTGCAGGACAAATGAAGTGGAAGATCAGTTATAAAATTAGTGTTTTATGTAAAAGAAACACAGTAACACTGTTAGGAGAGGCAGTCGCTGAGGCAACAAGTCCACCAATGAGAGGCTGTGTGAGCTGAGCATGTCCAGATTTGAGTAAGCAAATACACAATTTTTGTTTAGCAAATTTACCATCCAGCATCAATGGCCAGTCTCTCTTGGCCCGTATCTATCAAATGAATCTTTCATCCCGTGTCTAATGATGAAATAAGATAAAAGCCCATCAAGCAGCTGTGTAGTATTTTGGAATTAGTAGAAAGTAGCAGATCAAGCCAGAGTCATTTCATGCTTTTTTTGTTCAAAGTGCTGTAGTGAGAAATGAGCCCCGGGGTGGAAATACACAAGACAATTTAGTGATTTTCCACAGATTAGAGGCAAGAGCTTGACTTATGAGGTCGGAGAGGTGATTGAGTTGCAAAGAAGGAAGCGGGCATACGGGGGCAGGGCATAATAACTGGAATACCATATAATGCAACGCCATTGAGTGCAACAGCATTACAAACTATAGGCTCAAGATTTGTATCATTGCCTCTGACAGTCCAGCTCTAAAAAATCTGATCGGTTTGAGTTATTGTCTGCATATACAATGATTTCCTGACTCCCACAGAAGACATTGCAGATCTACAGGAGCCCTTTGGCCCATGTGGCTTCATGACAAACAAAAGCTCCTGCAGCAACAGTAGGTTTAGGAGCTGTTTGGTTTGGCGTGGAGAAGCATGAATAATGTTGGGGCCAGCGGCTGTGAATCTGAGCCCACACGCGCAAGACTCAGGCTTCACTATCTCCAACACTGTGTCCAGCAGTTTCCATTCTCTCATGAGGCTGCACCACTCACCAGATAACAGGGAATTCCATTACACACTACATTAGACAACAAAAACCCACATGCCACATCCACAAATAATTCATCTGACATGAGAAGGTGTGCACTCAGCTCATGTGAGCGTGTGCTCAGATTCAACAATTATTAATGATCATTAAGACCTTCTGTCTCTCCACCTTCTCTTTGTCCGTTGTTTTTGTCTGTTTACTACAGTTTATTCATACATATCTCATTCCATCTCTCTCTTATACACACACACACACACACAAACACACACACACGCACACAAATATTTTGATGACATCACACCTTTTTTTATTCCACATAAAATATCAAATACGTCCTTTATCTATTTTATTTTCATGTACCTGTTAATGAGGGAATTTTACATATTTGTTTCATTCTTTTGCTGTTTTGTGTCACGGACAGACCTCATATCTACCCTAGAATAACAGTTTTTAGATACCAGCAGCTAAACGAATGCGAAAATCATCTTACCTGTAGTAGAAGATCCTCCCGCAGGTTTGTTCAGCATCGTTCCCCGGCACAACTGAGTCGATGGAGACGGACGGACCCACCTTCTTTTTTTCTTTTTTTTTTTTTACCTACTTCACATTATCAGTTTTGGGGGGAAACTGCCATCGTAGCACAACATATGGTATCCGATGAAAAGGCACAGTTAGTCCGGGTGTGTTAGAATGGACTTTGCACGCTGAGCTCTGCCTGCTGTGGCACCGCTGCCGCGTCTGACAGGTAGACTTTACGCACAGTATCACACTGAGCTCAGGCTCCAAACAACTCAACGGCAGAGGCTGAGCGGAGTCCAGCCAACTGACTGGCTGCGTGAGGCGCGCTGCAAACTCTATTACCCACCACGGATTTGACATTTCCAAACTTGCCTTGCTTGGGCGTCTTCCTCCATCCCAGCGTCTCATGTGCTGGCACCCCCAGCGGTGCTATTATGCCTCGTTTTTGAAACAGGTTGGGTGTCTCCTGAGATACAGCCACAGGAACATGTTTCAGATCACACGAGCGATAAGATTTTGTGTCCTGAAGTTGTTACTAAGATTGATTGTAATCTTTTTACCTGTCATTCTTCCCCCAGTGTGAACGCCCACTAATTGAAGAAAACACAGAAACTTCACAGATAATTTTTCCAAAGCTTTCCTTCTGCTACATGAATTTTAAAATCCCCCTTCAACACATGAATCAAGCTTGTGCCAATTTACTTTAATTTCTCTGAGCCTTCAATGTGCATGGCTCGGAATTGGTTCCAAATATAGCACAGGAATAAGCCACTATTAAATTCATTGCACATTTATATTTGATTAATATTTTAAACAAATCCCATGCATTTATCATGAGCCTGCCAATTTCGTTTGTGCCTTTAACCCCACTCTGCTAAGCTGCTTATGACTCCATGGCACAATTTATCATTGTAAACACTGTTTACATAACATGAATATAGATGTCTTTCCCATGAAAACAAATGGGTGACATAAACCTAATGAACCTAATTTATTTTGATCCCACTGGAGAATAATAATGACGTAACTACAATATTTACAGAGACACAGTCTGCAGGCTTAGACTCATGTAAAAACACAGTAAAAACATTGCCTATCAGAACCTTGTCATGCTGTGCCAAAAACTAAAAGACTGATATACAGCCTCTGAACACTGGAAACATATCTTATTCAGAAGGAGCACTCTGTTCCACCGGCTCATAAAAATGTCTGGAGTTAATAATGTGCAAGCCCAGGCTCTGTCACTTTCACTGGGAGATGCATTAAGGTGCTGATGGACACTTTATGGGGGAAACATGGGGCTGCATTTATAAGACTGGGCACACATGAGCTGTGTCTCTTCCAGAGTCACCTTGTGTTCACATGCACGAGTCGACGTGGCATAACAGCCCTGCCGTCCCTGTGATGGATACCACTCCCTCAGGAGACGAGTATATTAGCAGCGGGGGCGAATGGAGGGGGGGGCCAGAACCTGCAACTGCTTATCCATTACTCTTCTTTCTTTCTCTTCCTCTCTCTCCATCATCCTTAATAGCAGGATTCAGAGTAACATTTTCTAATGAAGATCTGAGACAAAATGGCACAAGAGCATCCACCATCTGAAACATCCAAATGTGAGGCCAAAGCAGTACAGCGCAGTGGCGCCATGTTAAGCATATAGTCTATGAAAAGAGAAGATTTCTCCTTGGACCATGCTTTCACCAGCCTTCTGTAGATGGACTTTGAATATTTATGGTCCTCACTGTGCCCTTTTCTTCTGCTCCATTTTCTACTCTATATTTAGGCACTGTGTCACTACATAGCAGATGCACTATTTGTCAAGCATTTTCCCTTCAGACTCTTGTAATTTCAAGAAACAAAAAGAACATTAGAGCTGAATGTGCAGGTATCAATGTACTGCTGATTGACAAAGAGCAACACCGAAGCAGCAAAAGCTTTTACAGTTACCTCTTGTATTGATTCTCCCCTGTTTGATATCGCAGCCAACTCTGACACCATGAACTTTCCTAAGGCCCATTAACCAGCTTTAATCGTTTAAACACTTTTGGGAATTAATCAGGCTAATCCGATTGGCAGAGAAAGTATCAAACCACTTAATTTGATCTGGCCAAGCCAGCTTTTGTGAAGACTGGTGGGGGGGGGGGCTGTTTAAGCAGCTTTTCCCACATGGCCATTCTGTGCATTATTTCCTGTTTGATTAAAAACTTGAACAAAGCATAGAGCACCAATAGAGCACCTCTGACCACTGAAGCAACTCACTGGATTGACGAAAAAGAGTGATAACACAACTATTAAATCTGTTTGAAAACATCATTTAGACATATAAAGCACAGAATCAGACAAATGTATTCCGTTTCACTCTTTTCATTTCAAAAACAGTCAAATTTTTATATTTGTTCATCACAGACATCAGGTGCTGCGCGAGGTCCCTGGGGTGCAAGGTTCAGGTGCAGGAGCAGGAGGAGGAGGAGGAGGAAGAGGAGGAGGGGGCTCTGCATATGGCAAGGTTTTTGGCTGGAGCTCCTTTCAGAACCTAGAGGCATCCAGGGAGGCTCAAACTGAAAAACTCTCCTCAACACAAAGCCACAGCCAAATACTGCCTCACACTCGCCACCTGACTCAGGGTACAGTGAGCTGGCCAGGAAGCAAATGACAGAGTCATGTGCTGTTGTGGGCAGAGAGAGAGAGAGAGAGAGAGAGAGTATGTAAATTAGAAGTGGGGATGAATAAGAGAGCAGGTAGGGGGAAGACAGCACATCCAGCTGTTCACCTTCAGGCAGTGGTTAGTTCTTCCAAAGGGGCAAATCGAGCTCAAGAGCTGACAAGCACAACAGAAGCCGGTATCTGGCTCCCACAGAATTAATTTCACTTTAACTTCACTTTAGTTATTTGTTAAGGTCTGATAGTAAAGCCAGACAGTGTAGGGCATTAAAGGAAATGAATTTATTGCCCTCTTACATCCATAATGAAAAACATAATAGTCGGTGAATGCCAACGTTATGAGAAGCAATTTCATTAAAGCGTTGGAAAGTTGCACAGTATGTGACTTTTCAAGGTCCTTCTACAAATGTTCAATCAGAATATTAACAGTATGTGTCTAGATGTTGGCACAGGTTTGTGCACCAGTTCAGGGGGAATGGATGTGCGGGGAGTCCCGAGGGACCGGCAGAGGCTTTTGGCTTTGCAATTATCTAACACACAAATGCAATATGTGTCAAATTAAGTGAAAGCGCTCCATCAGGAGGGGAAAGGTCGCAATGTGTCATCCACATTTTCAGACAGAACTATCACTTTGTGGCTCTATCCTCTACCTGTAAGCGCACATCCCATTTAATGGTGCATAAAAAATGCAAAGCGTGCAACTTGGGAGAGGTCCAGTCTGGAGCCACAGTACAGTTAACGTCAATCATAACTGGACTTCCTCCTGCAGGAGGGAAGTGAACGAGGACAGTGGGGAGTTTCTCATCTTCACAGGTCGCTGGCAGTGGTACAGTAGCCTACCATTCTACTCCAGAGAGACGCTGTGTGCAGATTAATGGCATCCTCCGTGGCCAGATTTGAAAACTTCCATTAATGGAACACCAATGATAATTTATTTGGACAGCCGAGCTGCTTCTCTGTGAATAATGAAGTGGCCTTGGGATCATTAATATGATGGATTCCCTCTAATGTAGTGATGCTGTGCCAGAAGTCTTAGCTCTAAAAAAAAGAAGAAAAAATATAATAGCTGTGTACATTGTTTGCATTATTGATTTGTAGACTGAAAACAGTTGTGATTTGATACTGACACTGTGTCCCTCTGTAAGGAGATTAAAGATTTTTTAAAGAAATAATACCTCCAAGGATTACCATTTGAAAGATTATTAGTACTAATGAACAGCATGCCGTTAATCCTGTGGAGTGTGTTTGCAGGTATAGCAGGAGATGAGTCAGCCAGGCATGACAGTTGGCTGTATGACTTGCAGGGGTATAGTTTTATTCACAGTCTATCTCATCAGTCCAATAAGACGAATTAACAATTAAGTTCCCAACCGTGCCAGAGCTGCTGTCCCTGATGTGTCACTGCATATGTTCGCACTTTGCACCTTATGATTTTCCATTAAACCTATTAAAGCATATCTTAAGCAGCAGAGGATTTAGTGTTATGTCTTCAATATGCTTCTGAGCAAAACAGAGCTCCGATGGAGCCAGATTTCCCCGTCTGTCAGTGGTTGTGGGACTGCTGTGGAAGGGTTATAAATAGGTAATCGTCTAGGAGCCGCTGCAGGTTAAGCAAGGGAGCTCGCTGAGGGCCGGGGTGACTCATCGCCCTGTCTCTTTGCATCATGTCAGTTACCTGGTGTCTGCACCTGTCACTGCACCCCCCACCACCACCTCAAAACCACTGACTCGCACGCACAAACAGGAGCCTGTTGCAGGGCGCATCAGTGAACTCTACTATACAAGTATTTTCCCCAATTTATTTAGGCAGCTATAATCAATAGCTTTATAAGTACAGTGAAAACAATGAAATTAGTGAGAACAATGAAATTACTACAGTTTATGTCATGACAGTCACAACCCCCCCCCCCCCCAAAAAAAAACCCAAATAATCACTGAACTCTGCAGTTCTCCTCAGCATTAGTGTTTGATTGACTGTCAGCTAATTGTTTTGGTTCATTGAGTCATTTTGCAGAAAATGGCTTTGAGCAAAAAAAAGTATGTATATGTTGTATTCATCATGTGGGCACAAACATGACTCCAAATGGGTGTAAATTGGCAGCTGTTTGCTCTCACAAGTTTGCCATGTCAACTTTATAATACTACGCCTTCAAGTAGAGTAAAAGTCAGCTTTTCCAGGTTTAAGGACAGCATGACCTTACTAAAGCAATTTGAAAAGTTCAAACACAGTGGCAGAGGCTAAGAGTGCAGTTTTAGCTAGCTTAGCTCCCTAGCCCTGCAGTGCTGGCACTTGTCTAATACCTTTGTGCATTCAGCAACAAGGCCATCCTAGAAATACTTAGTACGTTTCTCTTGTGCAGAAAATCATTTTGTTCACTGTGAACAATAAAACTAAAATGCTGATGTACTGATTGTATTAGATTGCATAAATTCTCTTCATTGTAATGTGCTCAAAAATCATATTCACTGAAACAAAAACTGTAAAAGTAATTATTTCATCTCATGAGGCTTGCATTATGTATGCACTGTAAAACTCCTCTCTGCTCCCCCTCTGATTTGAATCAATAGCCGCACATTCCCTAATGTTTTTCTTTAATGTTCTTCTCTCAGCTGTAATTTCAGGTGGGTTTATTATCTGAGCCTTGGCAGCC